CTGTTTAATCTCAGCCAACTCCAAGCCAAAACCAAGACCACCCTGACCTCAATCACTGAGCTCCTGTACACCGATGATACTCTAGCGTGAGCTTACTTGGAAGCAGACCTTCAGGCAATTGTTGACATCTTTAGTGAGGCATACAAGAAAATGGGACTGACATTTAACATTCAGAAGACTAAGGTTCTCCACCAACAAGGTCCTAATGAACAGTTCCCAGCTCGGGCAATCCAGATCCACAGCGAGACTCTGGAGAACACTGAGTATTTCCCATACCTTGCAAGCCATCTCTTGCAGAAGGCTGACATTGACAAAGAAATCCAACATCTCCTCAAATGTGCAAATACCTGAAGAATGTGCATTTGGATACCTGAAGAAAGAGGTATATGAAGATCACAACATCTGATCCAAAACCAAGTTCATGGTTTATCAAACAGTCATGATCCCCACCTTGGTCTACAGCTCTGAGACATGGACAATGTATAGGAGACATCTAAAGCTGTTGGAGAAGTACCATCAGCACTACTTGCAGATGATCTTCTGAATCCAGTGGGAAAACAGACATGACAACATTAACATCCTCCTGCAAGCAAACACCATGAGTATTAAGGTGATGATCATCCAACATCAACTTTATTGGGCCTGCCATGTCATCTGGATGTCCAACTCCAGACTCTCAAAGCAAGTTTTATTCTCCTAGTTCAGTCAAGGTGTATGCTTAGGAGGAGAGCAGATAAAGCACTTCAGGGAGGTCCTCAAGGCCAAGTTAAGAAAAGAAAAAAATACAACATCAATGTCAACTCATGGGAAACTATCGCCTGACCACACCCCAAATGGAGGAAGAGTCTGTTGCAGGGAACTTTTCAACCAGAAAATCATTTTGTCAGAATTATTGCAGGTTACAACTGTTATAGTAATGATCCAAAGCAGTAATGATTCCTGGTCTGACCCTTTGCTGTCATCCTTTTTGGCCTTATAGGACAGGGATGGGTAAAATGGTGGACCCAGCTGGCAGCCAGCCTCCATCTCCCAGTAGCCCCTGCCTGTGTCGCTGTGGCCAGTTTCCATGGAAATCCCAGGAGCAGAACAGGCATGACAGCGCAGGGCCAGTGTTTCCATGGGGACCAGCCCCAGCAACACTGGCAGGGCATGCAGCTGGGCAGGGAGCTGCTCTGAGGCTGGGATGTTGCAGCATTGACAGCATGAAACCTCATGCCAACAACAGGAGATGGAAAAGTGGAAGCAGCAGAAAGAGCATGTTGTGGATCAAATCAAGAATCCAGCACTGACCGCCCACCCCACACAGAAACACGTCTGATCTGCAGTAGAATTTGCTGATCACATAGGCCTCATTAGCCAGATAAGGCAATCACTGAAGAAAATCATCCTCGACTGTGAGGGAACTGCCGAAGAAGAAGAAGTATCAGAACTGACTAGGAGAGAATGTCATCACTTTGTACAATGATAAAATGACTGGACTTATGTAGGGAAGTAAGCTAAAATGCCTTTGCTAGGGGATAAAGAGAACAGAACCTATAGATTAGTCAGAGGAATATCTGGCTACTGTTCCAGACAATCAGCTCCATGGTCCGTCTGCAAGAACTGGGGGACAATGGGTTCCCTTTAGTATAGCTCCGGTGGCTGCTGTGTCTACGCACATGTTCATATAGCTCTGGATAAATTTCATCCTGAATCACCTAGGATCCAGCAAGCCAGATGGATCCTTTACCTTTACAAGGAGAGCTGTGGACCCTGGCTCTGTGAGAAGCCATCTTGTTGCAAGATCCTATTTAAAAACAAGAAGCCTCTTTCATGACCAGAGCCTTCCTAACTCACAAATGAATTATTTTCCATCCAGGTTCTAAACCTTTCTGTTTTCATAGGCTCTAATCCTCTGATAACACTGCACAGTCACTAGCTCAAATAATCCTAAGGCGAGATGCCTATTTGACAAGATCTTGGGTGAGGTGACAGTTAAGTTTGGTTTCTCCTCAATTAAACACAGCAAGAAATGGGATTTCATTCAAAGTCCAAATTTTTGGAGTTGTCATTGATGACACCCAAATAATCTAATTGGTACTGCAGTGATTATCTTAGAAATGTGTATCCTGCATACCATGTGCTCAGAGCTGGGGCATGGAGCTACGTGCCACCCAGGAATTAGAATTTTTTTTGGAGACGTTCTATTCTACCCAATTTATACTGACATTCCCATGCCTGGTAACTGGTAATAATTCTAGGATGTTCACTGGAAATAGGCCTGATATGAATTTGACCCTAAAGCATCATTTAAATCATCTGACCATTTTTCTTTAGCAAAATTCCTAATATTGAAAATAAAATGTGTATATTCTCTCTTTGGGATATATCCTTCGCTAAACTCTGTCTAGGACACATAAGTAGCATAAAACACCTCTCACTGGCAAGGAAAGAAGCAATCCTAGGTATATGTGAGCAGGTTAATCATTAGGAATGCTCTCCCTGGCTGAACTTTTGGAAGCAGTAACAGCAGCAATAAAATAAATTTAATAGGAAGATGGAGAAGGTGAGAGTAGCAAAAGAAGAGAAAATGTGTGCAGCAATATCCTTAGAGATGTATAACCAGGGGTGTAACAGAAGCGGGGGGGTGGCCAGTGCACCAGCCATCGGTGCCAATCCTAGGAGGGGGTCCAACAAGACCAACGGCTGTGCTGTCAGCATTGCTGATCTTGTGCTGGAGCAGTCACTGCTGCTGCCCTGTGTACAGCCACCACCTAGGGCACTCAGTATAGCAGCAGTAAAGTACAGTAGCCCACTGTGGCAAGGTCAGGTTAATAGATAAAATGCATGCAGGGGAATTACCTTATCCTTTTGGATGAGCAACCCCCCCCCCCATCTTTTCCTATGCCCCCCACTCTGTTTAACTCCACAGAGGTTACGAACTGTTACAGCCCTAAACTACCAACCCTTGCTCTTTAGCTCTGAAGGTTTCTTGTTCAATTTCCCTTGTGCCGGCCCAGAGGTGATCACCACAATTAAAATTTTATGAGTTATCTGATTAAATTCAATACTTCATTCAAGCAATTCAAATTCAGATAACATTTCCATTTTAAAATGAAGACATTTTGCAAACCTGACATATTACATGATCCGTGGGCATGACTTGAGGACTTTCAGTGACTTTACTGAGAGTCTGAATGGGCCCATAGTCTATGCTCATTATTAAATTAAATGTTATCTTTAGCATGAATTACAGTCACATGTATGTGTTAACACAGTCCTGTACATTTACGAGAGAGACCAGGAGATGATGTAACCCTACCTTTTCCATGACCCCTTCCTCCAAAATGTCTCCAGATGAACAGGGCTGTTTGAAGAAAACTGTATGATTCTGACTGTATTTTATAGCACCTCCTTTTCCCACCTGTGGGTAGTTCCCAAAGGGGTTAGCACTTGACATTGAATGAGGTTATGCTTCTCTATGCTCGCTTTATTTCTAATAGGATGTTTGCAACATTTTTAAGAGTATATTTTAGTTTTTATTGAGGTGATTGGAAAAGAGAAGACATCCACTGATAGTGTTTGCTCATTATAGCCAATGTTTTTGACTTTTTCAAGAGGAAGTAAAAAGGCAATGCACTTTTTTATAGGAATAAACAGGTGAACTCCATATTTCTGTGGTATTTAATTGGGAAAAGAAAAAACCTCCTGGTATATATATATATATATATA